GGCGGGAAGTTCCTCCTGGGCGCCCATTGGTGGATTCGTCAGCCAATTACGAAAGGGTCGACTCCAGAGGGGCGGGTTTATCGGTTGCATGAGGAAGCCCAAACACCTGGCCTCCTGCTTTTGCTGACTCTCCGGTTTTGCCCGAGCCCCCGGCCCCGCCTCCCACCACAAGGCGTGGTGACTCATCCCCCCTGCGCTCCCCGCTCCTAAGCCCCAGTTCTCAGCTGCAGCACACAGAACCCACACTTGCCCCACCGAACCCTTACCTTGGAGGTTTTTCTCTTTGCGCTTCTGATTCTCTAAGGTGCCTGTTTCCCCATCACCTGAACAGCTTCAGAGGTTGTTTCACTCTGTCTTCATGCTTACTAGGTCCCGCCATGTTTGAATTTGTGTTTCTTTAATTATTGATGAGATGACACATTTTCCACATGTTTATTCACTACTTGAATTTTCTCGAGTGTGAATGTTCTTGTCGCTTAGGTATACGTTAACTTGTCCTTGAAGACAGCACTGCCCAGTCTCTGGTAAAGTCCATTATTGCATCTATCTTCCTGGGGTAAAAGGGTTCCAGCGAATTTCAGGGAGTTGGTAGCACCACGTTCAAACATCCTTTTAACCACTTCCCATATATACTAGTATAGATTAAAATGGTTGTTTAAGTTTGTTCATAATTTGGCGACTTTTCCTTTGCTACCTCATTATGCCACCCCTGGATGGCTATACTGATCCCTGTAACCCCATCCACTTAGCATAAGGGTCCGACACATAATAGGTACTTAATCCATAACAATAGATGAGTGAAATCTCTGACAGGGCTGCTCGTGGTTCCCAGAGTGCCTTTTTGTTTTGCTCAAGCTATTTCTTTCATCTGTACTATCCTGCTTGATTTACCCAGCTGCTCAGTCTTCAAGACAAATGAGCACCTCCTCTGAAGCCTTTCATGACACACACCCCCCTCCCTTGTTAGACATGATCTTTCTTCCCTCTGGACACAGTGTGCGTATCTTATTGTAGTCTTTATTATCTGCTGCA